GTACACATGCAGTTGGACAGACAGACTGTGTTCTCCAATAACAGTATTTAGAAAGTCAGGAATTTCTGTAGGGTGGACACACATTGCCTCCAGGGTGTGTCCTCTAGAGAATGGCATGCTAGCCTTCACCAAAATGGCGGCTATGATCTTGTGGAGGCTCCAATACCCCGTTATTGATTAATGGGTTAAATTGGCCTGACTGTTATGGTGATAAGATTATTTTGTTGTCAGCCAAACCTCTAAGGACTTTCTTTTTCATGCCATGAGATGAAAAGGTCGTTCTGAGAATGAATTTGGTAACGGAAATGCATCTATTTCTTGTCTGCCAGAACCCTTCCCTTCTTCTGGCATAGTGGGCCACCCCATTTAGAAAGTTGTTCCTTCTCTTTCCTTAAATCATGTATTTGTAGTCGGGGTCTAAAATCATAGTACTCTCACCCCTTGGCCACAAATGACTTGCCTACAAGTGGCACATGATCCGAAGGAGGCGGATCAGAATTCGTTTCTGGGATGTCTCAAACTGGAGCCTGGAAAAGAGTTTCAGGCCCTGTTTGGTGGTGGAATTGTTAGGTGTGGGCTCCCTTGGGAATGTCTCATACACATTGTCCTGTTTGGTTAGATGATAGTTTGTGTTCACATAGCTTATTCTCAAGGATTCTACAAATAATAAAATGGAAAAGAGGGTGAATTCCAGGCTTGTGAGCTTTAGCTTGGGCCTCACATTCTACTATTTCCAGCCCCAGACTGACATCTAACACAGCTTTACTGTGTCACACTCAGAATCGCAAGGCTCCTTGACCTTGAAATATTTCTAGCAAGTGTTTAATCAAGGCTGTTTGGCAGCTTATATGATTTAGAACCAGTTATATCTGAATCAACAGTCAAACTAGTGTTTTCATAGTCATTGTAAATTGGGACAATCTCCCCTTAAAGAACCATATCTCTCCAACTTTCAATTACAAAGGAAGAATGGGAGACCAGATTTTTGTGTCAGGTAGCATGAGTTGATTTGAACGTGGCGATTCATGCATGAAGAACCTAGTCTGTAATCCAAGCAAACACATTTTTAACTTGTTTAAATGGAGGTTAGTAACTCAGAGCTGGAGTCATAATGTTCCATATTTCATTGATTCCAAAATGCTGTTTTTCCAGCATTTTAACACCCCTGATAACAGAATGTGATTGAAACTGGATGGGGTACTGTAGTCGGCAGCATTTTTCTTTCTTAATAATAAAAGTTTACAATCAATGACATTTTTTATTTGATAAAATATGGCATTTAACCAGGAGGGCACATTTTCATTGTCACAGTATTTTCCAATAGGTTACTTCCTTTTCTTCTCACAAAAGCTCTGTGATGCTGGATGACTTCAGAAAGGCCCAGACATGAGCCTTAAGGTCCCCAGCTGTTATTGGCAGAGTTCAGCTTAGACCTTGGTGCTCTGGAGTCCCATGCAGGGTTCTGCCCATTGGATCAGATTCAGCAGCTCCAGATGAGAAGCATACACAGCCAAATAGATTTGGTTTCCTTATTTTCAGGCATTTTTAATAAAATTGGTGGGGAGGGTTGGAGCGAGTAATTGATGACACAAAGGAATCAGTCTCTGTACCTCGGAATGACCAGATGTTTGATAATAATTTGGGGCATGTATTCCCCACCAGGGCCCAACCTCACTGTTGTCTTTCAGAATCTTTGTTGAACGCCAGGACAAGAAAGGAGATTGGTGAGACTCATTCCATGGTGGACACTGATGCTTGATCCAGCTTTCTTTTCCATTAATTCTGTATATCCTTCATTCAGAACGGTCCAGACAGCCTCTGCCAATCAAATGCAGCCCAGGAAGTGAAACCCCTTTGCTGCCCTCGACCTTTAGCATAGAGTTCAATTCCCTTAATCCCTTCTGACCTGGACACAACCTCCCTTTCCCATTTTACCTCCTACCATTTCTCCATTCCATGCCACAGGCAATGGAAATGCTCACTGGCTCCAAAAATATGCTAAATTTTCTGTCACTCTGCCCCCAGGAACTCCTTATTTCTCTTTTGCACTTTCACTTCATTCACAGCCCCATCTGGAAAAAGTCTTCTCCATCAGAAGTGAGCTGGTTGGGTCCTGGACTCCCATAGCACTCTACCTTCTACTACTTTTGCACTAGATATAAATTTGTTCCACAATATGAGGGCACAAAAAACATCACGTTTCATTCAGTTTTTTCCCCCAGCAAGCTATGTGAACGACCACTAAGGGATGTGCCTCTGGACCAGTAGGTCCTGTAAGACACAGGGGTTGAGGGCAAGGAGTCCAGGAGCCAGAACAAGAAGGATGAAATCCTGGCCCTGCTACTTAACCATCCATAAAGACCTTGGACAAGAGACTTAACTTCTTTCCACCTCAGTATTATCTACAAAAAGGGTATGATAATGAGGCTTATGTCAGAGGGATTTGGTGGGGATTCATTTAGAGAACTTAGCCAGTGCTTGATACATAGTAAAGCTCAGTAGATGTCATTTATGAGTAGTACTGGCCTTCCCTCCTGCTCTGAGTTGGGCTCTCTAAGAATTTAAGGACTCAAGGAAAGAAGAGGCGTGCCTGGTCCTTCAACTTTGGTGGCTGTCACCATCACCACAGTCCTTCCTACTGCAGGCAGCCTCCAGAGGTGCACCTGCAGAGCTAAGTGCAGACACAACCCACTCCCACCAGGTTCTCATGGCACGGGAGCTTAATAATCAACCCGGATCCCCATGGGCTGCCCTTTCAGAAGACCTGCCACCTGGCCCAGGGAGGATGACAGTTCCCAGCCCTCAGACCATCAGCCCTAGTCATCCCCTCCCCACCTCCCAGGCTTTCTGTCCAAACTCCAGCCCCGACACCCCCCATCAGGCAAGTCCCTCTGAAGTCCCTGATGACCCTGTGTCGGGATTACACTGTAGCCAAAGGTTTGGGGGATGGTTGGGAAAAATTAGGTTTTCATTCTTTTGTGCCTCCCCTAAGAGCAAAAATGAATATCCCATTCGATCATCCTGACACATCCGTGTCCCACTTTGGATTTATGTGCTTCTCTCCGCTACTAGAAGGTAAACTCATTGGGGGTCGTATCTATGTCAGATTCACTCTGTTTTCCCTCCATGTTATGCCCAGAATCCTATATTAGCAGCAAAAGAATATCCATCCAGGGATGCCTATTTCCCTTTTTCTGCAACCACCCCCCACCCGAAGCCACTGGGTTAACATGTTGCCAATACATGCCACTAGACTAGCTTCCAGGTCCCTCAAACCAGCCTTAAGTCCAAGCAGTGTCACCTGCCATCAGTCCCCCGCCCCTTCCTCACCTCCACTTAATGAGCAGATAAGGAAAGAAAATTAAAGTGAAAAAATTAAACAGCTTTAAGCTAAGATCAATAGAATTGTATAAAGCTCTGGGCAGTGGTATTGAGTGAGCCCAGAGTAATCCCCTGCATATTGCATGTTAAGTTAACTTGTAAGAGAAATATGCTCTTGCTCAGCCTCACACCTTCCTCTCCATGTGAACGAGGAAGCAGGGAACACAAATTAAAATAATGTTGATTTAGTTTTTAAAGGGAGTGCCCAGGAGCATTTTCTGCATGGCCAACTGAAAACTCCAGCCCTGGCTGCCCAGGCTCCCCCTCTGCACAATACAAAGAGAATATTTGATCCCCAGAGCTCAGCCCACAGTGGGGGATTTTTATTTTGTTTGGGGTTTTTTATTTCCTGTATGCTTTCCTCTGGATTTCACAATTTTAAATGGCAACTTGCAAATTCCTTTTCCGGCAAAAGATCTCTACTCCAGTGCAGCAGGATTCCCTGGAATCCTTAGTCCTAACACATAGCGGTGCGTGATCCAGACACGTCTCACGTGGGAAGCAGGTGGAGGAAAGTTGATGGCGCATGGCAGGCACAGCGTGGGTCAGGGGCCTTTTCATCAGCTTAGGTTCCCCTAGGTGATGGAGAGCTGAGAAAACCAGGTCTTCAGGGTTGCTCCTGGCAATTCAGCTACCTCCTTGAGTGCTACCGAGACCATGCTTCAGCTTCAACCAGGGCGGGCACTAGAAGCCATTCAAGCCCAAGAATTCAAGATCCATCCTCGTGAAATAGGAGCAGCCAAGGTCATGGTGAAGGGCATCAGGGCATGAAATGGGGGCAGGGCATTCAGGCCGACCTGTCCTCTAACCCCCGGCTCCCCCACTAATTGGCCATAGAAACTTCATCAAGTTATTTTACCTCTCTAAACCTCAGCCTCCCATTTTTAAAACAGAAATCGTCATGCCTCCCACGCAGGATGGCGTTGAAGATTCAGGGGAATACAGCGTGTGAAGGAAGATGCCTGGCATGGTGTAAACCCTCAGTAGATGTCACCTTCCTTCTAAGGGGTGCCCTGCGAGCCTGGGAAGGGACGAGAGCACAGGGATTGTGGACTCTATTCTGAATTCATCTCTGAATCTCCAACACTTAATACATTAAATACAAATAGCTGGGTGACTGAATCACTACATGACTAAAACAGTAGAGCTAATCCTGTCTTGCTACTTTGTGACATTTTTTCATATTATAAAATTAACTCAGATGCCTGGGTGGCTCAGTCAGTTAAGCATCTGCCTTCGGCTCCTGTCGTGATCTCAGGGTCCTGGGATCGAGCCCCGCGTCGGGCTCCCTCCTCAGTGGGGAGCCTGCTTCTCCCTCTGCCTGCCGTTCCCCCTGCTTGTGTGCTCTCTCTCTCTCTGTCAAATAAATGAGTAAAAATCTTTAAAAAAAAAAAAAAAAGATTAAGTCACGTTGAATGTAGAGTACTTAGAAAACCTAGATAAAGAGAAGAAATAAAAATCACCTATAACCTTGCCGGCCAGAAATAGCTCCCATTACCTTTTGGGTGTATGGCCTTCTGGGTACTTACCAGCTTGTTGACAGAGATAGAAATATTTGTCAAAGCAAAATGGGACCATCTTGAAACACTTCACATGTAACCTGTTTTGTTTATCTAAAGATGGATCAAGAACATCATTCCATGTCACTCAAGTCCTTCTACTAGGTGAGTTTTTAAAAGCTGAATAATACTCCATTGATTCAATATATCTGAATTTGTGTAAGTGGACCCCTTCTTGGATATTCAGGTTATTTGCCATGTGTCCCTTCTCTGAATGACACTGTGGTGAACCCCTTAGACATCTGTCCTGGTGACCGGATTTGAATATTATCTGAACATTAATCCCCAGAAATGGAACTACTTTTCCCTGGAAAGGTCTAAGGTTGACCAGAAGGGAATATAAAATAGTGCCATGGTGGGAGTGTACCCCACACAGCACCTCCCCAGGTAGCTGACTTCCCCTCCCGAGCACGTGGGACCCCGAGTCCCGGCGCAGGCTGGGCACCAGAGCTACGGTTGACCTGAGGAGTGGCCCAGGGCCGGCCCACGGAAGGGGAGATGGGAGGGAAGGGGGGGACAGGGAGCAAGGCCAGAAGGAGGCCAGGTGCCCTCACCTCCGGCCGTTTTGACTCCAGGCAAGTATTTTAATCATATTGAAGCTCCAGGAACTCTGTAAAAGAAGGATAGTGATATTTTCCCATCAACTTTGGGGGCTGTTATGAGGAGCTCATGAAAGGCTATCTGTGAAAATGTTTTGCAAACAGCAAATGAAATTAGGGAGGAGTTGCTCTATGGGCAGCTCTGGAAAATTGAGCAGTTTTCCCAAATCTCCAGAGACAATCTTCTCGGTGTGTGGCTTTGAGCTTTTGTTTGAAATGATACGAATCCCAGAACATCAGACACACCCATGGCCAAATTCGAGCACAGAACACACCCAAGCCCGGGGTGCCGGGAATCCTGCCCCCTTTCTAGTCGGGGTTATTCACCCTGAGGCCACCTTCCTTCCACCCGTGCGATCAGCTGCCTGTGTGTGGAAACTACAAACACCACATCACCAGCCCGCAAAGCAACAGCCTGGAACCTTCATCCATCCGTCTCACCCCGTGCTCTGACGGAGCGAAAGAGGAAGAAGATACAGGCACGCTGGCCAATCTATCCAAGTCTCTCAGGCGCACGGGGACATTTCCTGATACCAGCTTTGTTCCTGTGAGACCTTCAGGGGAGATGGCTAAGGCTGGCTTCCCTTCCAGCAGCCTGGCACAGTGTCTGCCACCAGGTCGCCTCCAGAGCACAGTCTTGTGGTAGAAGGGCTGGGAGGAGGGTCAGAGGAACCAGAGACCAGCCGCCGCGAAGTACAATGGCTCTCTCCTGGTCCATCGGGGCCCTGCGCTCCGGTTTGGGCCAGAGCCCAATGTGCTTGGCTCTAAAGAATTCTGTTCTGCCGATGCAGAGGGGGCTCGGCCCTGGTGAGGGCATAGCAGGGCTGCTGATGGGGACAATGCATCCATTTACGAGCCGGTAGAGAGCATGTTCTGGATGGCGGGGCCAGCGCTAAGCACTGGGGATGCAAAGGTGCGAGAGACAGCAACCGCCTCAACGAGCGTTAGAGCGGTCATAGTCAGGGCCTTTGCCCCCCCGCCGGATGTGGCACCTCGGGCAAGTCCGTCAACTTTGCTAAGATTCTGGAAAGTGGGAATATGGAAGGCAGTTTACCTCGCAGAGCGGTCGTGCGGATGAAATAAGATGATATTAAAGTAACTGAATATATTCCACGGATAGCCTTATTCTTCCCAGCCCATGCGTTTTGCACCCCTGCTCCCGGATGGTATCTGGGGCTGAGCCCAGAGCATCGCCAGTCACTGGTCGGCACTAGAAAAGTCTCCTCCTCAGAAATGGATAAAGTGCAGACCGCTCTAATATTAAAATTTCAATTTCTCATCCAGTTCAAAGCCCCTGTCTTTCCCCAGCTCAGGCCTACTGAGCCTCAGTAGCCTGAAGCTGGGAGGTGGGGGGTTTTCTTCACTCTCGGAGTCCCTCCGCCACCCGCCTCACCCCTCCAGAGCTGCAGCAGGGACCTGGAAGGGAAGGGAAAGGGCCAAATCGGATTAGGGAATGAGCTGGTACTGTCCAGAGATCTCCATGGCAGATGTCTGAATCCCGACCTGTCCTCCGTGAGCACTCCAGTGCCTTTCTCCAGAGCCCCACACTGGGACCTCTCGCTCAGCATGGCCCACAGACTCTCAGGCTGGCCCTCAGTACCACCTCCATGATTTCACCTCCTCTCCCCACGTCTCCTCGAGCGACTGTCCACTTAGCTGGTGGGAAGCTCAGCATCCTCACCTCTCAAACCCTGGAGGGGTGCATAGGCCACCTCAGGCCTTTCTCCTCACTCTACCAGCCTTACCCCTTCGGACTTTTCCCTTCTTGGTGCCTCCACCTGCCGGGGGATGCCAGTTAAATTTTCTTTTTTTTTTTTTTTT